TCGCCGTGATGAAGATGAAAGCCTCCAAGGGCCAGGGCTCGCTCAGGATGCTGCTGCTGAGCAGGCAATGCCTGAAGCATCGCAGCAGCAGCCGCCGCAAGAGCCTCCAGAGACCAGGGGCGCGAGGAGCCGGCGCGCCTTAAGGAAACGTAAGTTCGGAAGGCCTGTCAAAGAATGGGCAGACAAGAGTGCTCGAGCTAAGCGAGATGCGGTTTTAAAGCTACTCCAAATGTTAGTTAGCAAGACTGACAGCATTGAGGGCATGGCCACAGTTCTCGCCACAGTCGTCAACAAGGCTTGTGGGTTGTTTCCGGGGCTGCACGAGGCTTTGGCTTTGAACGGTGTGACCAGGGACTGCAAATGTGGGCAGCTGATGGATGCCTTAAAGAGCATCAGCAAGGACCCATGCATGCAGGCCACTGAAGGCTGCCGCGTGGCCGTGGCAGGAGCCGTGCAGCGAGCAGGCTTCAAGAGCCAACGGAAAGCGAAAGCAATGGGCATCGACATCGCGCAGAGACCATGGAAGCTTGCGAAGATAGGCAGAACCAGCAAAGGCAGCTTGAAGAAGCGCGGCCGCCCCAGTTTGCTGGCCAACCCCACTGCACAGCGCATGGTGCGCGAGGCTGCTGAGGCAAACTCCCATGAATCATCGAAGTTCATGGTCTTGAAGAATAAAGACATCATTGCTGTGAGGCATTGGTCGGCAAGCCCTCACCAGGTGTACTTGCAGAGCCCAGCTCTCATGAAAGGCATGTCTTACAAGAGCTTCGTGCGACTCCTCGCGCAGGAGGTCCCGCATGTCAAGCGCGGAGCTGGGGTCACAGACTACTGCGATCACTGCCATGCTTTCTCAACGGTGCTTGTCAAGTTGCTTGGGCTTAGGAAAGCTAAGCCGGCAACATTTTGCTTAGTGCATCAACTGTTGCCTAAACCCTAAACCCTGGCCTAGTGAAAAGACTTTAAGTTTGTACCCTTAACGTTTGTAACCTCAGATTTGGGGTCCCAAATACCTTTTTTAGGGGCCATAATCCATGGTTTAAGGACCCAAACCCAAGGGTACAAGCACTAGGGGCACAAAGGAAAAGACCTTTACTAGTTGCAAGCGACAACATACGAGCACTCCAGGAAGCCAAAACCCTCCACAGCGGAAGCAGCCTCTGAAGTTGAAGCATCAACCTTTTCAGCCCAGGAGAATGACAAATTTCATTGAAGAGATGAAGCAGGACCTTCTGGGCGTGTACAGCGCCTACTTCGACCACATCGAGCTTCCCAGTGACGATGTGGTTGCGCGACGGCCGTCCAAGCTGGTCCACGCCTACCTCGTCTACTTGAACAAACACACTGAGCGATACCGGGCCGAGTTGAATAGAGCTCCGAAATCACGAACATTGATCCTCACACTGCACCAGAAGGAAGCCAAGCACGAGACAGAGCTTCGATGGATGAAAAAAGTTTTGGCCGCTTACGAGTTCCATCGCCAGTGTGCTGACAGACAGCGAGACGAGATCCAGCGCCAAATCAAGAACCTGCGATCCGGGGACCTCCTCCTGTGGGTCGACTGGAAGCAAAATATCACGTTGCCACTGTCTCAGGTAAGCACCGGCGACATGTACTGGGCGACAAGCAGAATGGAAACAAGCCTCCTTGGTGCCATAGCTTACATTGGCTCTGAGGATGGCCCGCCCAAGAAACTTGGGCTCTTGTGGATTTCCGATGTGCTTGACCATACGTCGCTTGCAGCATCAATGCAGATGCAGGAGATGATGACCACGTGTTTGGGCCCCCTGTCCAGATACCGTAACATTGCTCTTTGGTACGACACTGGCCCACATTACCGCACGGTAGACATGGTTTCCTTCGTTGCGCAGCAGTGGCTCTGGAAGGAGAACCGCCTAGACTTGGCCTGCACATTAAATTTCTTTACAGAAAAGCACGGAAAAGGGGAAGTAGATGCCTTATTTGCTGGGTGCAACAGGTGGGCTTCCTGAAAGTAACGCCCCATCTTTCTTTGGGTTCGGGAAGTCGGGGCACCCGCCCATAGTTTTTGAAATCCCTCAGGTGGCTGAGGGCTGCGACAATGCAGCCGGGCACTAGGCTGGAAACAGTTGATGATTTGATCGCGGCCTTGAAGACAGGTGCCGGCAAGGACATGGCGCAAGACCCAGCAGGCATGCAGTTCCACATCGTCAAGTGGAATACAAAGCAGAAGCCTGCAAAACTTTGGAAGGGCGAGACGGACATGCAGATACGCAAAACGTATTGCATAGAGTTGAGGTTGGTCGGAGATCGAGCTAGATGTCTGCAGTGCCTCAACCGGCATTTCAGCGACCTGCCGCAGAACAAAGGGGTCAGTGTGATGCTCAACTTGTCGCAGCCGGTCATTCCCAAGGAAGACAGAGCTTGGCGACGCGGGTATTACTCCAGTGACAAGTGGCGAAAGAGTTTCCCAACACCGGATAAACGCAATGCCATTATTGATAGGTGCGAGGCGCTGCAGCCATACAGCTGCCTGGACCCGGGCCGTGACTCCGCCGCCAGTGCCCTTGAGAAAAAACTTTCTCGTTATCAGGCAAGTTTGGCTGCAGCGCGGAAGCGCGGAGCCCGCCAGAGGCTTCTTGTCAAAGACAAGAAGGACACAGGTTGCAGCTCCAGCTCCTCTAGTGACAGCAGTTCCAGCAGTGACAGCAGCTCAGCAGAGTGAGCAAACAAGCCTGCGCTAGTGGAAGGTGCAGCACTTTTGATCATTATATGCTTCATGACCATATTCCGTGAGCCACTTGTTTTTCCTCTTCGGTATAAGGCGGGGCCCCACCTAAATCCGACTTTCAGCCGCTTCCAGGAACAAGCATTTAGACAAGAATCCA